CTCGGAGCCAGTAGAAGTCAAAGACGATCACTTCAGTCAGCCTCTGGATGGAAGTGATTCCAGCCGTGGAGCCAACTTTCCCATCCCAGAGGTTCGCTACCTCATTAAGGAAATCTCTGTCATCTGGCATCTTTATGGTGGAAAAGACTTCGGGAGTGTGAGCTCCATAGTTTCTCCTGCTAGAAGCCGGGGGTGAGTCATAAACTGGGTTCTCTTTACATTTGTTAAAAGGAAGACATATTTACTTAACTCTGGTCTTTACTCTGTCTTGCAGATGTACACCTCATAGCTCCCCATCTCAAACTCCAGTGAGACAAGCGAAGGCTTCAGGGCGGGTTGGTGGTGGAAAGGGAAGGAATCCTGATGTCCTGATGGAGATTCAACTCAGCAAGGTAAAGTTATGCTGTGCAGAAATAAATGTTCATTATTTTGTGAAATGCCATTTGGGATTTCTTCAGCTTTTCTTTTACTGCTTCTTCAGGTGAGATTCCAGCACGAGGTGTACCCCCAGATCTCAGCGGTGTCGCGTCCAGCAGTGGACCAGCCAGTGTCCCGGCAGGTGTTCTCTGTGCAGGACTTGGAGATTCGAGACAGACTAGCTACCTCCCAGATGAACAAGTTCCTCTACTTGTACTCTAGCAAGGAAATGCCCCGAAAAGCCCATTCTAACATGGTGAGGAAAGCACCATACTCGTTGTAATCGTGGTAAGTTTTGTCCTGTCGTAACCATGTGTGTGCGCTTTTTGTCTTAGTTGACAGTCAAGGCGATGCACATGTGTCCTGAGTCAGGCCAGGCTCCCCCAGAGTGCTGTTTACGGGTCACTCTAATGCCTCTTCGTCTCAATATTGATCAGGTGAGAGTTGGGTACAAATTATTTCTCTAACCCTGGCAAACAATGAGCATTGTCTTTTAAGTGATAGCTTCTTCTTTATTTGAAGGATGCACTGTTCTTCTTGAGAGACTTCTTTACAAGTCTTGCTGCTGAAGTTGAGTTTTTCTCACCACCTATTCACGAAGGTAAGATTGCCACAAAACTGTATAATTATCATGACTCCTACTTTTATCTCATGCATCTTTAACGTTTTGTCTGTTATAGCGGTTTGTGTTACCACAAAGAAAGTGGCTGCCCCAGAGATCTCTTGCAGCTTCTCCAAGCACGCTGGTGGGAGCCAGGATCCAGCCCCAATCATCTCGGTGCCTGCACAGAGACGACTGAGCCAAAACGGTTTCTCTACATCCGGCAGGGAAGACGCAAATGACAGTGAAGCCTCTGCTTCTCCCTTCACAGACCAACCCATCTTCTTTAGGTTAGAGGTTATTTTTATTGACCACTAAGCCGTTTAACTTTCCAAACTGCTTGTTTGTGTTCAGCAACCCCTTGTCATCTTAACAGGGAGTTTCGATTTACTTCTGAGGTTCCCATTCGCCTGGACTACCATGGGAAACACGTGTCTATGGACCAGGTAACTGTCTAAGAGAGGACTTGATTAACTCCACGTTATGTTATGAGTGCTTCATGAATGATTTTTATGAGTACCTCGTTCCAGGGAACATTTGCAGGGATCATTTTCGGGCTGACACAGCTGAATTGTTCAGAGCTCAAACTGAGGCAGTTGTGCTACAGGCAGGGGTAAGTATACCGCAAAATGTATCTCATGAGACAATAAATTAGCAAAAACATAATTCGCACACAGTGATCCATATTAAAGTAATACTTGTTTGTGTTTCAGATTATTAGGTGTGGATAAGCTCTTTTCCTATGCAATAAATGAGTGGTTAAATGACATAAAGACAAACCAGCTTCAAGGACTGCTGAGTGGTGTGGCACCTATTCATACTCTGGTAAAACTGGGTAAGTGTAACAGTTCAAGGGATCATCTCAGATGGTTTACTGTGTTTGTTAAGAACAGGGCTGTTGCTGTACCTTGTTCTTGTTGGCCAGTTGGGATGTGCTACATGATTAAATGTTGCTTCTCTTGTTAATCAAGACATGAAATACTAGTTATTTAATCCAATTATGCAAATGTTTGTTAATGTACAGTGCACATCAACTGTCAGTTATACCTCAGCAACATTACACACTCTTTCCCGTGAGTGGATATAAACAAGCACAGTGAAAAGGAACACAAGTGGCAGCTCTGTGAACAAGTGTGGATTTGCAGTGTTCTTATCTAGACAATAAACAGTTATTAGCAGGCCTTGTAAGCTCACACTGATGAATAAGCTGAGCAGTGTGTAACCATAATCTGCTCAGGTCTATAAACATTAACATGTAAGCTAAGCAGTGCTCGTGTTAGCTACTTGCAGCAGAATAAACTGATGTGTATCAGTTGTATTGCAGATGCCAGCAATAAATGAAATTTAAGAATGCACAGGTCCAGCTTTTTGTAGTTCTGATCTGACACCTTGGATATCGATAATGGTTCAAACTGCTGGAAATGCGCGAATGAAAGCTGCTGCTGTAGCTAAAGAGAAGCGTCTCCAAGCTGCTGAAGCTCTGATGTTAACTTCCTATACATTGCCTCACTCTCCCATTAGCAATCGAAGCATTGCTCCTGTTGCGCAATTATTAACACAGTGTAGAGCTGAACTGAATGGATTAGCTGTGGACTGTAGCACTGACACCTATAACCTTAGCACATCTTTATTACACTTTATTATTATACTTTGTCTAATATGAAAGAATAAGATTTAAAAAAATCACAATTTTTCCCAAATTGTATTTGTACAGACATTGTTTAACTTGTCAGTGAACTGTCTGTTATCTTACGTTCAGACTTGTTAACTAGTCTGATTTTTGTTGTTCTCTCATTTTAATTGACTTGTAAAGGAGTTGCCTGGTGCTTGGCCCAACAACTTTCTCATTTCTGAAAAGTTCCTTGAGTCAACATTTCCTTGTTTGACAAAATTTTCTTTATTGTTGCTGACATTTCAGAATCAGCCTTAATCACTTTCTTTTTCTTTAATAAAAAACTATCTGGAACAGAAACTGCTGTGAAAGTCTTTTCCAATATGAGAGCTGAGGTCCAGCTTTTGACTTTCAGTTGCTTTACTCCTCTGTCAATGTTGTGTTTTGTTTTGTTTTTCTTCTTTCATATTCAGTTCACGGACTCAGGGATTTGGTCTGGCTCCCGATTGAACAGTACAGGAAGGATGGCCGGATAGTCCGTGGATTTCAGCGCGGCACGGCTTCCTTTGGAACCTCTACAGCTATGGCTGCCCTGGAGCTCACAAACAGGATGGTGCGGACTATTCAGGTAAACTGGTCCACTGCTGCTAATAAAATATTTGCATGCATTTCCTTCTGTAAAGCACGTAGAAAAATCTATTAATTGTTGTCTGTTATAATTTTTTTTCTGTTTTTAGGCAGCCGCTGAGACAGCGTATGACATGGTGTCTCCAGTGCCTGATGAGAGGGACACAAAGAGGGTAAAACGGATCTCCCATTATGGACTGGCTCATCAGCCTGTCGACCTCAGAGAAGGTGTAGCCAAAGCCTACACTGTGGTGAAAGAGGTAAAAAAAACAAAAACAAATAGGAAAACCTTCACTTCAGTTCTGTGAAAGAAAAGCTGTTTTAAGGACTGCAAAATGTTCCCACAGGGGATCACAGACACTGCACTAACCATCTACGACACAGCCACCCGGGAGCACGAGCAGCGAGGTATGACTGGGGCAGTCGGTGGAGTTCTCCGCCAGCTTCCACCTGCAGTAGTCAAGCCACTCATTATGGCCACTGAGGCGACTTCAAATGTCTTGGGTGGGATGAGAAACCAGATTCACCCCGATGCACGTCAGGAGGAGTCGCAAAAATGGAGGCAGGGCGACGAGTAAGTGGCATTGCCTTATGGAAAACTGAAACAATGACTGTGCAGCAGCTACAGCTTAATAGGTGTGCTTTTGAAGAAGGCAAAAGGTGGACAGTGAGTGCCGGTGTAAATAAAATGGTGTTCATCCTGTGGCAGTTTGAGCTACTGTGATTTTTAGCTTGTGTCAGCTTATCACATGCCTCACAGTGCCTTCATGGTCATCAACATTGTTCAACTGTATGCGTGTAATCAAATGGATGAAGAAGGGTGAGTTTGAGCAGCACTTATAATGTTATTGTGAATGATGCTATGTTGTAGGGTAGACCATACAAATGTAAAGGCTTAAGAATGAAGGAATAGGTCCTTTCATCTGCTTCATTTTCAAACAGCTGTTTACAGATTGTGTGGTTGCGTTCTCTTATCCTACTTTGTGTCAGCAAACACTAATATTCTAGGTGTAATGACCCTTAATTTATATAAGATGTACTGTATGTGGGCCTTGTTATTTACTGTAAATATTCCTAATGAGCAGCATTTCGTGCAAATATGAGAGAACAAATGAAACTGAATGTGTTGCATCTTTGTAAAGCTCTGTAATCTGCACTTTTAACTGAGTCGAAGCGTAACAAGTGAGAGATGGGACGATTATCCAGACTTGTTCTAAGGTTTCACAATTTTAGTGTTGCATAATTTTCACAAAAGCTGCTGTTTAAAAAAAGGAAGCTGCGGTTTAAATTTAAAAACTGCTTTATTCTTACAGTCTCATGCTCACATTTTTGAATTGTTGACAAAGTGAATCTACTCAAGATCCATAAGTAAAGTCTTAATGTACTGATAATCTCATTTGTTTAGTTTTTTTTAATTATTATTAAGCTATATGTTTATATATTGATGTCTGATGTGATCAATTGTGTTGCTAAGTCTTGATTTTTATTTTTTTTCTTCCTTTTTTGGTTATGTGGTAAGAGTATTATTTCTTGTAAATATATGTACAGGTGACTCATGAATTTGTATTAAAAGCATGATGGAGAAATAAAAACGGTGAAATTAACACTGGAGTGTGCTTGGTTGGTGTTTATTTACTTTAGACATTTTTGTAAACCTTAGGAGTTGTGTTAGCATCATATTTCAACGTTTGCTTTATATATTTTATTCTGAAAACTATACGTCCGTCTGTCAAGTGATTTTTATTTTGAAAGCCTAACCTCGCTAAGTTAATGTTGGCATGGCAACAGAACTGGTTCCCAAATCTCCATTGAAAAGTGTTAAGAGCGTAGACTTGGACTATTTTAAGGGGTTTAACATTTTAACTGTGTGCTCAAAGAGTGTTGGTGATGGCGGACATAGTCGCCGACCTGAGCACTCTGTGTTTTGAGAGCGGGCTCGCTGACGACGAAAAGAAGTTACTTTACCTCCGGGCGCGCTCGGCTGGACTGATATTTTGCGGGTGCGAGCACGCAGCTTTCGTGTGTGAGCTCTTTGACTCGCTAAGGTGAACTCATCCCACACGTATAGTCTTGCAGTCATTTGAGTATATTTTAATCTGTCTGAGCTGCTTCATTCTTTTGTATTATAGATGTGCCATCAGGAGGCGCACAGCGAAAATCAGAAAGCCAGTGGCACCAGGAGAGCACGACGACCTCCGCGTGGGTATACTTGGGTTGGGCCATCTGGGAAAACAGCTGTGCCTAGCACTTCTTGAAAAGACCAAAATCAAACCCTCACATATTAAGATCTCCACTAGGAGACCAGAGTTAGCAGGTACGCACGCACAAAAAGCCCAAATCTGAGAAAAATGCTTGTGATGCAGTGGATTTATACGGAGCCCCCCAGGGGACATGGGGGGAAAAAAAATTAGGGAGGAAAAAAAAAATTAAGACGGACTTTTGCGAGATCTCGCAAAAGTCCGTCTTAATTTTTTTTTTCCTCCCTAATTTTTTTTTTCCTCCCTAATTTTTTTTTTTTTCCTCCCTAATTTTTTTTTCTCCCATGTCCCCTGGGGGGCTCCGTAGATTTAAGATAAGATGAGCTTTATTAGTCCCACGCATGGGAAATTTGTTTTGTTACAGCAGTGGACAGTGCAAAGTTGCATAGAAAAAACAATGGAATAGTATATCCATAAGATACTGTACACAATAGAATATAATAAAAAAAAAATACTATATACAATCGAATAAAATAGAATACAAATGCTGTATACAATATGAGTATAATAATTTCTTGTGACAGGATTTAAATGTCATGAGACACATAATCTTAAAGTGGTGGACCTATTTCCTTTTTATTCTGTTGTGTTTATAGAGCGTTACAGTGGTGGATGCTCATATTAGACATGGTCAAAGCTTCAAATAATTAGATTCTTTCGTTGAAGTAATCTATGTGAGGTGAAAGATCGCTGTTCATGTGGCTATAAATGCTAGGTTTCCTACTGTTGGCTCCTCATGATATCACTCAGTGGATACCACTAATATGGTCAAACCTTCTGTTTGCAAGGGGCAGCCAGTCAGAAGAAGGCTGGCTTAAGGGATGAGAAGCTAAAGCTCCTTGTTTCAGATAGTGGGTAATCTGAGGGGTTTCCATACGCTTCCTTAATGACTCTCTTCACTCTTACATTTTTAAGCTACCCAGATGCATTTTTGAGCAGATTTAAGCTAGGTTGTTGTTGTTTTGTTTTTTCAGTTATGCCCTTTTAAGACTATGAATAGTTATTGGTTGCTTGTTGTGACTCTATGGTATTCTTGAGTTAATCATTAAGCATGTGTTGGTTTAACTAAATTGCACTTGGACCAAACTTCCGTGTGTACTGATAAAAGAAAAAAAGTGTTTGCTAAGATCGTTGTATGTTCTGTGTTTCAGTGGAATTTGTCCATACAGAAGTTGAATGTTTCTTTGACAATCGCAGACTGGCAGCATGGGCGGATGTTCTTTTCCTTTGCTGTCTGCCCTCTCAAATCCCAAAAGTCTGTGTTGATCTCCGCTCTCATCTGGCAAAACACTGCCTTGTGTACAGTTTCACCTCTGCCATTCCCGTCACCAGGTACAGCCATATTCACACACACAAAGGACTGGTCATTTCTTGGGGGGGTTGGGTCAATGAATCGCTTTCTTTTGAATTACTGTCTCAGATTAGCTAAGCTTCTTGGACACGACTACATCCTGAAGCCAAAGTATGACGTTGTCTCTTGTGACACTGTGGATGTTTGGCTGTCCTGCAGTCATGTGGCCTCAGCTTTAGCAGATCCTTTGCTGATAGAAGCATCGTGTCCTCTCACAATGAAAGGTATGTCACTTCAGCATCTTTTCATTTTGTTTCATATGTGACAGAAAGTATTTTGCATGAGCTTCAGTTAAACAAGTTCTTTACAAGTTCTGTTCTTAGTTTGTACATTTTGATTCCACATGTAGGAGGTATTTCTCTGGGTCTGAACTGGGTGTGTGCGGTGCTGTATATCCTGTTGAATATCTGCACCTCTGCCAGTCTGGGATCCAGTGAGGCTCTCCTCTTAATTAAATCAATATTTAAAGAAAAATGTGGAGACACTGTGCAATTAAATGCACACAGTTTCATCAATTCATCCTATGCATCTTCTCTTCTCTCAGATGAGTGAGTAGATCAGTGTTTGTTTGTTTTTTAAACTGTCATATATCTCATTTAAATAATAATTATATATTTCAACTTTATTCCAAAAAGGCCTTTTCCCTGGATTTCACTTATGGATGCCCAGATCAGGGAGACCCCGCTGCTGCGCTTTCTATCAAGCAGTAAATCTGTGCAACAGTGCCTCTCTGCAGCTTATAAATCCCAGATGGAGACACCAGCAAAGTGACACACTGATCAGCCACAGCATTAAAATCACTAATACGTGAACTCAGTCTCTGTGATGGAAAAATCTGCTGGGGAACCATGTCTCATTTTGAAAGAATACATAACAATACGAAAAATTAAAAAGTAAATAAAAGTCTGTTTAGCTTTTTGTGACCTGTCTTAAATAATGAGGCTGGTCAGTGTGCTTCCAATTCAAAATTTGTATTACTGTGTTACATTTTCAATTTTGAATGAAAATCATTTTATAACATGAAGGACTCACTAAAGTTTGTGAAATGTAGATAGGTTTACTTCAGATACTTTTATGCAGTACAGTTACAGTGCTATGCAAAAGTCTCAAGCTTAATATGTTTTTTATTTTCTCTATTAAGCCACTTAACACTGACCTATGAAACATTAAAGCATCAAAAAATGCACTCATGGATGAACAAGTGTTGTCTCTATACAGCACAGGCGACTTGGGAAAGAACCAATTTTAAGTTGTATCTGTAGCTACTTTGGTGATGGCAGCCTCTTGCAAAAAACCTGGACCTTCATCTACTGTTCACTGCAGCCTTGTCAGTAAAGATCTCAGTGGAAAGACTTCTGTCAAGAAGCCTATCTTAAGGAAAATGGGGAGAAACAGCTGAAGTATACCAAATTACACACCAAATGAACTGAAGACAGGTCCGATGGAGTAATGAATCCAGATGTGACATACAGAGGAGATTGGGGTGAGGTACAACAGTGAGTGTCTACAGCCATCTGCAAGACACGGTGGAGGCAGTGTCATACTTTGGGTTGGCATTTAAGCCAGTGGTGTTGGGGATCTTGTTGAAATTAATGCAACAACATTAGGTTTGATTGCCAAAAGCTTCATTTTTCAGCATGACGATGATCCCACATGCACTGCCAATGCATTAAGAGCATACTACGCACAGGGGAACACTGCCAGTCATGGATCGCCTCCCCAGATCCTGGACCTCAACAATATTGAAACAGTGTGGGATCATCTTGACAGGGAATGGAACAAAAATACAGCCAACATCTAGAGAAGAGCTTTAAAGACTGCTTAAAGAAATAACAGGAAAGCTTGTCTAAGAGAGCTGTAGTTGTACAAACTCTGCTTTTGTCTTACATGTACTCTTTCCATGTATGTACACGTTTTAATAAATTTCCTATTTCTTTCCTAGATTTTCCCAATTGAATAAGAAAAGGGGGGGGGTGCCTCAAGGCCTTTGCAGAGTACTGTATCATGAGAAAAAAGACTTAAAACTGAAAAAAAAGATAGTTGTTAGATTTTGTTAAATAATCTGTGTTTATGATTTGGCTTTGGGACGTATACTTTTAGACTGGTTTAAATATTAAGCAGCGTATGTCCTCAGAGGAGCTGCAGTAGGCTCCTGGTAAGGATGCAGATTCGCTGATTTTCCGAGAAAAGACGGAAGTGTCAAAAAATCCGGGTCTGTTTTTTCCTGTTGAGCAGCAGAAGCAGCAGCGGCAGCACTGTGGAGAGGTCCCTCACATGACTGCAGGGATATGGAGGCGGTTTTCCTCATGTCCTGAGTTCGATTAAACTAAAATCACATCATATTTTCGACGCTACGTTGTGGTGAGATAAGTTTTTGGGTGTTGTGTCCGCAGCTTCGGCTGTCCTTTTAACTGCTCGCTGGTTAGCTAGCGTGAGCTATAAGCTAACAGCTAGCCTGGTCAATGAAGCTAGAGTTCCACGCACATGTAAACACAGCTCGTCGCTACTGCTTTACCTGTGAAATCAGAAGGCAATACTGCGGTTGACGGGGTTTATTATGTGAAACGGCAGCTTGTTTAGTTTAAACAGCCTGCTTTAGGAGGCTAGCTTCACCCGTCTCCCTCCCCTGTGGTTGGGAGGGGCGGGGTTTCATCTTTTTGCAGCCACGCAGACTGAGGTGTTTGCCTTCTCAGGACAGCCATGGAGAGATTAGAGGCTACATCACAGCTCCAGTCACGGCTTTCATCACTGTCTTTCTCATCTTTCCCCGGAGTAACAGCCAAACAGTGCGACAACACGCCACCGGACAGGTAACCTGTTGCTGCGGCTTTTAAATGGAGCTGCTATGCAGATGGGTGGTCTGAATGTTATCTTGGTTTAAAATTTCTATTCTTTCTTTACTTAAGGCTGCAGAATACAAATCTTTCAGAGAGCTTTACTGAGTCCAAAGACAGTATGGATGACACCAAGGAGGATTCAGGACGTCTTTCTGAGGTAGGTAATACTGTGTGCTTAGGTGAGCTGTAAACAAGTTGCAGTAAATAGGGAGGCATAGTCTAACAATTTAAGTCTTTACAATAATAACCCTGACGTGTGCGCATATTGAGGGTAATGAAGAGGCCCCTGCTGAGCTGGCCCTGGGGGAAGGAGGCGAGGAGAACAGCAGTGCAGGGAGCTGTCAGCTCTCCGCCGAGATGAAAGGTGAGGACCTGCAGTGTGCCATAGTGACAGCTGCTTTGTTCAGCAGTGATTCTGACTCTGCAGGTTCATAAACGTCCCGCTAATTGCAGTGTGCGTGCACAGTATTTGCTTGAGATTTTGCCATCTTAAAATGAGTTGGATAAAGTGTTGCAGTTGCTGTCACATCTTGTTAAAGTCACTGCCGCGTGTCCCTTCTGATGGCAGCCCAGATGCCGCCCCTGAACCCCCCGACAACTTGGACATCTGCTGCTGTGAAGGAGTTAAAGGTGAAGCTCCGAACAGAGAAGGACAGCATGGTGACCGTGTACCGAGGCGACATCATGACGGTCCATGTGCCCACCGTGCCCGAAGCCAATAAAGTGTGCTGGGAGTTTGCCACAGACGGCTACGACATTGGCTTCGGCATCTATTTTGACTGGACTCCTGTGACGAGCCGGTCCATCACGGTGCATATCAGCGAGTCGAGCGATGACGAGGACGAAGAGGAGGAGCTTGAAGGTCAGGTGCCGACGCCCCTCTTTGCGATGGCAGTTGTACTTTTATATGTTTTCCCCCCACTGGGGTTACAATTCGGTGTGTTGACTTTGTGGATCATGTGATTTCTGCAGGGCCCGTCGGCAACGGGGACGTCGAGAAGGGCTCCAAAACTCACACCAACTCTAACTTGTCTGAAATCCTCCCCGTGTACCGCCAGGACAGCCACCTGTCCGTGCAGGGGGGGAGCCACGAATTTCCAGGTGAAGGCACTTATCTCCTGAAGTTTGACAACTCCTACTCCCTTTGGCGAAATAAAACACTTTACTACAGGGTTTATTATAGTGCCTGAGATGCCAATTTATCGCTTATGAATGTACAATTTACTGAAGAACAATGAACTATTTTTGATTCCACACTTGTCGGGGGAGGGATGGGGGGGAGACATAATTGAAATTCTAAAATAAAATAGAAAAAAAAATAAATATATATATATAAATATTTTTTAGCACCGTCTGCTTGTGTTGTCTCTTGTTGAATTTAAGTTTGTAATCCCACAGATTTCAAACGCTTCAGTGTCTTGCTAACATGTGTTTGAAGAAGCCTTGCATATGTGCCATTTTTCCCATGTGTGCACCGTGCTATTTGGTCAAGTGCCCATCATAAAATATCTATTGTCTTCACCTGTAACAGATCTATGGTAGCAGTGATCAGGGAAGACCTGCACGGGTATAACTGTGTTAAATCAGCTATGATCTAAAGAAAGAAGCTTTGTTTTGTGTGCTTGTGTGTGTGTGTGTGTGTGTGTGTGTGTGTGTGTGTGTGTGTGTGTGTGTGTGCGTGTGTGTGTGTGTGAGAGAGAGCTTGTGCACCTTTTTTTTTTCTTATTATTCTTATTGCTTTGTCTTTGTTACCAACCTAACTTATTTTTTTCTTCTCTGTATTGATCCTAATCACGTGAGATTTCAGATTATGTAAATTCAGAGTATGGCGATGTCTGCTGTCACAGTGGTGTGTTGGTTAAAGAATATATATAAGTCGAATGTACTGAAGCAAGTGGTAATCAGACTGTGCTTTTTATGACACAATTAAAAGCCATCCCTTATCACATGCAGCTCTCCTTATGTAATAAAAAAATCAATATTTACATTTGACTTGCACACTTTCATTATGTTTGGAGGTAGATTATTTTTTGTGCACAAGTCTAAGAAGTAAGTTACTGTTTTGTTTTTGGTCTTTTTTAAAAAAAAAAAGATTATCTTTCTTTCCTCATTTCAATCACTCTTTGTGCATCTTCCAAAGATTTCACAGATCTGGCTGCTGACGTTGTATACAGCATACTGTAAAGCAACTGATACTGTTACTGTACTAAACCCTCGCTGTAAGTTATGCTGATGGCATCAAATCCTGAAATTTCTAATTCCTCAATAAACAGACCATTGTCTCATTTCCTTTGTGGTTAATTGAGGCGATTAGATAAAACCAGCATGCATCACGGTCGATTACTGGACAGCTTGAGAAAAAAATAAATTAAAAAATGGCCAGCCAAAGCTGCGCATTTCACCCGAGACCCCGTCATTTCATAACAGTCTCGCTGCACATCCAGGATTAGAAAGCACTTCAGGGTGGCCCCTTGTGTTTCCATTAAATTGTGACATAAGGGGATTGATGTAATAGTTGCACAGAGGTGCTGATGAAACCAGGTTTTATTTTCAGTTCTCCCTTAAGGCCTCTCACAATCTTACGACGCAGCTAGCCTTGCTTGGGCTTTACTGGATTTTTCTTTTTTTTTTAAAGAAAAATGGTCAATAATTTATGGAAAGCTACTCTCAGTATCATCAAATTCATTATTTATTCAATTAACTTCACGGAAATATAAAGATGTACTAGATTCTAACATAATCCACATTATCTACAAGCATATGATGGTCGAATGCCAGCTGGCATCCAGAAGCTGTTTAAAAAAAGGGGATAATCAATACAAATGAAGATGAAGTTATATTATTTTGAGAAACCCAAGGTTAGCACAAATGTGAACAGTCATTGAGTTTCTGTTTCGAGGCCTTTGGAACTGTACTGACTAAATAAAAATTTGCAGCACACTCGACTGCTTAAAAAATTGCATAGGACTAACATAATTATTCAGTACTGTGATAGATGCTCCTTTTCTTTCTTTTTTATGGTTTGTCTTGGTTCTGTATGTAAATCGGAGGTTTGGGATCTAATTTTCCTTATGCGGTCATTTTTTGGTCTGGCGTCATGAGCAGGTGTTATATAAGCTGTAGCATCAACCTACACCTGTTTAGTTTGTCATTTGATTACTTCTTTGTTTTTATCACTTAATTTCTTGTGATATAAACAGTCAGAATAAAGATGAAGATAAATATATCGATTTACTCTTGTTATTCCAAACACTACATCAGCTTGGGTCTCATTAAGTAAGAACCAGAGTGCATGGTTTCAGACTGCAAGTGGAGATGAACTATAATAGAAGCTGTTTTTAGCATTGTCGCCTCTTAGATGAAATGTTGCTCCTGACGGTGGACAGAATAATAAAGTAATATGACACAACCACACTGCATTAACACCACAGAGCCCAAGAACTGACATGATTATATTTTGTTGGCTTATTTTGGGCCCCCTAAGTACCAAGTGCACGCCATCAAAACACCACAGCCTACCTGAATATTTTTCCTGACCATGTCCATCCCTTTACGACCACAGTGCACGATTAGTCTTTTTAATAAAAGTTCATTCACTGTTTGAAAATTTCAGATATCAGCCATTTTCTAGATGGCTGAAACACAAGTCTAATACACTCAGAAGTTTCTTTGTCCCACATATAATCCCCCCCCAAACTATAAGTGCTAACATGAGGAAAACAGTGTAGTAGTAGAGATGGTAGCCACAAGCCACATTTCCTGGATGGACCTCGTACCTAAGCGGCCCCACTCTCACCTACTGATGAGAGAAGCTAGAACTCTCATCTGATATTGCTATTAGTGCAGTGGAGGTTCTCACTTGATCACCAATAATACGTGAAGCAAATATGACTGACGAAATTTGATCATGCCAATCAATTGTGTGTCTATAAAACAATGAAATGACTTTGAAAGTCTATTCAGTTAGCCCGCACAGATCCATAATAAATACTGATAGCAGATATTTGGTGTTTAGAGTTTAAATTGTAACTATTTTATTTTTATTTTTGTTATGAGACAAAGATCTTGAATTTGCTAAGCGAATGGATAGATGTTCAGTCATACACTTAACTTCCCTTTATCCAAAGACATATAGAAAGGCAATGAGGCATCTGGAGTCCAACCAGCAGATCCACTAGGGGGCCTATTACTTAATTACTTTGACCTCTCACCTGTGCGTGTTCACCACGGCCTCGAGCTCCTCTCGGCCAATCAGAGGTTAGCACTGGAGATCTAAGTACCGCCGATGTTTGCTGCTCTCAAAACGTATTGGATCCGTAAAACAACATGGGGAGACTGAATTTTTATGTCCTTTGGTCTTTGCGTGACGTCCCCCGCCAGTTTATTAGGTATGTCGTTTGATAAATACATAATAATAATTTTAAAAAAACATGTTGACAGATTATTAAGGACGCGAAGAATCACTACTTGGACTCACTCTTCACAGCAAATCTAACCGGAGGTGCTTTCAAGTCCATGTCCCGCTGCCTCTTCCTAAGCAGCTGGTCATCTTCGGTCTGGGACAGTGGGAATGCAGTTTGACCACAATTTCAGTCGAGGTTCTGGTCAGTGCAGAAGTACCAGCTCAGAAAATTGGGATTCTGTCCTCTCAATTTAGGTTCGTGAAGTAGCCGCAAGGTTGTGAATTTGTAAACTAGAGTTAGCTGAGATCTCTTTGTGCTCAGGTGTCTGACTTGGGAAGGTGACTGGAGCCCAGAGATGGTCAAAGTGGCTGCAGAGAGGGGCAGGAGGGGAGTTTATGGCAAGATTTTACTCACAGTCTCCGGAGAGGTACAAAACACAAGTATTTAGCGCGACCAGATCCGAAAAACTCACCTAGAGCTCATGTTTGTGTGGGGAAAGTCTGGGTTATTTGACTAATGGTTAAATGCAGTGGGGAATTTACATATAGCCTCACTTTAAAACACACAAACTGTTCAGGCTACAGGTTATAGCATGCAAAGGGCAAATATAGCTTATCTGAATGCAATTAATCCAACTCCTGTACTGAGTAGATACAATAAGCCTAAAAGGAAGGTGAAGTTTAACCTAATATCTTATGCTGACTGCTTTTTTTTTTCTACTTTTTTTGTGAAAATATAAATAACTCTTGGAAAACAGAATCGGATTCCACCATTTTCACCTTGCTATAAATAGCTTTATGGCATATATTATCATTTAATATTCATTTCTTTGTGCTAGTTTCCATTACACTCCCTGCTTTCTTTGCGTCAGAGTGCTAGGCATCATGCCTATATGTGGGATTTAAAACAAAAAAGCAGTTCGTAGCTGATATTGCATAGTGGCATTTCACCTGTTTATTTCTTGCCAAGACTTGTGACCAGCCACAGGACAACTCCAGCGTCTTCAGCAGTACCCCTTTGGTTCAAAGGAAATGCTTGTTCCCCGAAGGGCACGATGTGACCGATCATTCCACCACATTACACACCCAAGATGCTGAAAGTGAAACGGTGAGATAAACTGGGCCAAAATAGTTCAGTGGGAATGCACGCTTTGGTTTTCGAGCGTCATGATTGTTCAATTAATACAAATCCAGGTGACTTCTGAGACCTCACACCTGAGCGACAGGAGCGACAGCGTGTGCTTTGCTGAGGTCCAAGTCAATAAAGTCGACACCAGTGACTCCGCTGTGGGGAATAAACCTCCAGTGTGGCCTACAGTGAGTGTTATCCTTAGGTGTATGTTAGTGTCTGCATGTGAGGGCAGTAACTGACGCAGGTCTGCTGTGCGCTCTGTGTGACTGGAAGGAAAAGACACCCAGACGTACAGTCATTAGTAGGAGAGGCCAACTGAGGTGGAGCTCTGAGGACGTGGACAGCCTCTCAGAGGATGTAGACCAAGCTTCGACCCCTAAGAAGATGAGGTCATCCGGGATAAACGGTCAAGAAGAAATGACTGTGCTCATAAAGAGTGAGAACAGAGGAGGTCAGAGGCAAAAAGGAAAAAAATATTGGGATTACACAGGATTGCACAGAAGTGGCTTTTACAAAGATTTGCGATTAGTTTCAGCGTGTCCGTCAAAGCGTTGGTGCCACACCATGTGTCTGAATGACCCTGATACTGCCATCCTCATTGGAGGGGAGACTTCAGAACAAAACTACTGCAAGGACTCCCTGTGGAAGCTCGAGTTGGGTCAGTGGACTTTGCTGAATATACATCTGGCCATATATGTATATTAGCTCCCTGTATCTATAAAGCATGTCACTAGAGTGAAGGTGTGCGGCACCGGTGGAGGAAGCATTTGTACTTAATCGTTACCTGACCTCTTTTCAGACGGTGACTTCTGGTTCCCGCTGAACTCCTCTGCTTCTGGACCTGAACCACCCTGTGCCCGAGGACACACTGCAACCTATGACCCAGACTCTAGAGCAGTCTTTGTTTACGGTGGCCTGAGGGAGGGTCGGCGCTACACGGAGCTGTACATCCTTAATACTCTGACCTGGAAGTGGAAGCTTGTCAATGTGGGTTTGTTGTTAACATGCTGCGTTTTCACATTCTTTAAAAGCATGTACGTGTATGTGAAATAGGCTCTTTGTTTTTTCTTTTCATTGCTGTATTTGTGGATATTTCCCATCCTTAAGGCAAAAGGCAGCGTTCCAAATTTAGCGTATCACTCTGCAGCCTTTTACAAAAAAGAACTTTTTGTCTTTGGAGGAGTTCAGTCAAGCCTTTCCTCAGGGGATAAATCCTGCAGTAATGCTCTATACATCTTCAACCCAGAGTTTGGACTCTGGTACCAGCCCATTGTGGAAGGGGACAGACCTCTGCCTCGGTTTGGGTCAGTCTTCAGTAAATTTACTGTACCCTAAGTGCTTTCTTAATTCTCAGGAATGCTAATTTCATGCTTTTTAACAGGCACACGACTACGCTTCTGTCTCAGAAGTTGATCATATTCGGTGGACGCAAGACAGCTGCTTACTTTAACGACCTCCATGTGTTAGATCTGGGTAAGATAAAGACCGCCACTGACCGCCTTAGATTGAAACAGAGTGTCCAGGATTGCACTGATTCTTACATTTTCCCTACTGAGTGCAGGATTTATGGAGTACACAGCTGTGAAGAGTGGGAACATGCCACCGCTGCCTCGAGGGTGAGTAAACTAATCAACCTTGATAAATGTCATCCATGTAGCCATCTGGTTGTAGTATCCTTGGGCATCCCAGAAAGAGTCAAGTGCAATTTTAATGTTGTTTAACACAAAATTCATCCTAGTGAGATTCTTTTCTTTTAGCTGAACATATTTCATATTTAAGAATATGTAAAGATTGGCCATAACAATGATACAGATAAAACCTCTTTATATATTAATTGACAGGTTTCATGCAGCACTCCCAGTTTCAGACAACAGGATTCTAGTCAGTGGAGGGTGCAGTGCAATTGGAGCCCTGCAGGATGTTCACATCTTTAATACAGGTGAGCAGGTTTTCTTTTTTTCTTCAGTATTATTGGATTTAAAAAATATGGTGCGTTTGTTCCGTTTCAGTCCAGTGTTGCTATTTTGCACGAAGCATCAATATTGATGAAATCAGCTGCTTTTTAATCGAGCTTCTTTTCTTTTCTCCCCCAGATACGAATATGTGGACTTCATTGGTGTCTCCCCTGCTTTGCTCCAGGCCTCGTGCTGGACACAGCATGATGCTTTTGGGCAGCGCTATCCTAAGAGACACTGGGACACATGGACAGGGTGAAAATGTTAAAATCCAGTGTGCATTGCTGGTGTTTGGTGGGTCGGACTGCTCTGGTTCCTTTTATGATGACACAATCAAATGCACCGTGGAGATTCCTTTTGACAAATGAGTCCAAATTGGAAACAGTTTTTAGCCACCATGGCCCGTGATGTGATCAGACATGAGAAGAGCGTTTTGTCTGGAAGACTAATTCTTCTGCTTTGTGTTTTGTTGCAATGACTTTCTATTCATGTGTCTCCTGTGTGATTCTTTTACTTTATTATGTGTCTTCGAAAATCACCATCAGGCAACGCGCTGCGAACAGTGAGACGAGAGGTTTTCCACTTTGCATAGCAAATCTGAGCGTTGTTTTGTTTTTGTTTTTTTTTCACATTGTCCCGTACCTCCTCTCCACGTATCTGTATGATGGGTTTTTTTTGTTTTTTTGTTTTTAAAAAGGCAAATTAAAGTCATAGTTCAATTTCATGCTAAAATACTAATAAATATTTTTTTTTACTTGAACCTTTCTTGTCATTTAAAGTAACTGCAGTGGAACAGAGTCGCTTTTCAGTCATTTTATTTAACACAAACAACTTCTCAGTGGCTTTGTACTAAGCACGCAGATCATCAGGTGTATCTGGTTGGCGTGATGGGTGGCTCACTTGGAAAGCTTCAATCTCAAGTAAAGCCTCATTTAGCCGTTTGATGGTTGGATATTTCCCCACATCCACTTTGAACCTGTAGACATTAAAAACATACTGGTGATGCTTCCCTGTACAGGCTGTTTCGAGGTTATATCATGTTTTGGGATCTCTGCCTTCTCTTGAATATAATGGAAGTAAATTGTTCTGATTTCTGGAAAGAGATGCTGCTGCTAACCTTCCAAATGTATTATTTGATGCTTTGTGGCACAACTAGTTTCATCTGGTTCCATCATATTTAAAACAAGGCAGATGTTTTTATAGCCACTATTTAAATGCTGGTCAGCTCGAACAAAACACACTAGACAGAGAAACAGCACTGCACGCCAGAGGGAAAATATGTAAATTGGATTTTGTGGAAAGCCCATCTCTATTAAAGTAGCGCTTCTATTGCAGTTTTATGAAACTTCTCATAGCATACCTCTCTGCGTTGTAGACCTGTGGGACCAGACAGATGTCTGCCATGGAAATCTAAACGAGAAGCAGAAAGTAAGAAGTAATCTTTGTGCTGGAAATTGCCCAGATGTTGTCCTGTGATATATTCATGTTCTTACCTCATCGCCTACACAGTATTTCCCCGCTGTTTGCTTCAGAATTGGCTCAAGAGCTGGGGATAATAACGCATGCATGTAAACCACATTGGCATTTTTCTCATCACTTCATGTTTCTAATGTATAGAGCAGGGGTGTCAAATGTGGGGCAGAACTAGATTATTACTTTGGAAAGTTTGGAAATGTAAATATTAGGAGAACAGAAAAGTTTGTACTTCTGTGTTAAGTTCTCAGGAATGGATCACTGTTGATTTAATCATCATCGTCAGTTTTAAAAGCCTTCCTGCTTGCGACATTAAAGCAAAGCAGGATGGTTAAGCTGATGAGTCATGCTTTGTAATGACAGTAAAAATGTGCACTTATAGAGGCAACTCGGAGTTCATCATCTGCTGTGTAAAAGAAAGTGTTTTCAGAGTGCAGTTCTCCGCATTTAAAATTAAAACGAAGCATAGAGGAGTAGATGACAGGCTTCCGCTTACCTTGAAAACCACGATCGATGAAGTGCTGAGACCACTGCATCTTCTCCGCTCCTATTTTCTGGATTACATACAAATTCTGCAAAGTCCAGGAATTTAAAAAAAAAAGATAAAGTTACTGGTCTTGCAGGTTGACCTTGACATTGCAAGCATGGATTTTTTGTGAACCAGAGTAGAGATTTGAACTGATGGCATTGTGGACTGTGTTCTGCTTACCTGCAGGGGCTGTATACCCGAGGCAATGAGGTCACTTATCATCCTAACCTGGGCACGCGCCTTTGGGTCTGCTGGAAGAAGACGGGGTCCTGGTCTGGTCTCATCGATGTACTGGATCACTGCCAGCTACATAAACAAAAGAATTTTGGTAACGTTTTTTTAATGTTACATGGTGTAATAAAAAATACACCGACTAAAGGTGTAATTAAATGGAATTTTAATGTATTTTATTTGAAATTACAAAGTAACTACCTGCAAATGCTTAAAGGTTAGAAAACAAGTCAGGTTTTTACTAGAACTGTTACCAGTATTACCAAAATATTCAGTAAATGTAATAAGATAACATGACAGTGTTATGGAAGCAGACTCACCGACTGAGAGAGAGTGATGCCATCAATTTCCACTGCAGGCACTTGTTGCATGGGGTTTAGCGCTTTGTACTCCTCAGTAAGCTTTGGCACAGAGAGAGCCACTGTCAGACTAACACATGACTTTAAAAAAGAAATGCATGGTTTTATTGTTTAAGACAGCACCTTGTTAAGAATCTTCATATTGTTTTAGCAGGATTTTGGACTCTTTAATATTCAAGCAATCATGCAGAAAGTGTCATGTTTGTCTGCACACTGTACCTGCTGCCCTCCATCTTTGATCAGATTGACTGGAAGCTGGTCATATTCAACACCTTTTAGAGCAAAAGCTGGTGCACAAACAAGTTCATTACCTTAGTGATAAAAAAAAAAAAGTTACACCAAAGCTTAGCTGAACATTCCCAGGGCATGACTTACCAATGCGAACCCTCCAGGAGCAGGAGCTTCTGAAGTATCCGTGAAGTATGGGCTGAACAGAAAACAGAAAATGTTAAGTCAGTTTGGAAACAAAGTCAGTTTTGCTTTGTGGTTTTATGCAGTGGGTTCACCTTAGTCTGAGTTGCCATACTTCTGTAGATTTCCCTCGACTAGACTGGATCAGTTACTGCAAGTACTTTTTCTACAAAAAATCTCATCCACTTTGAGCAGCCAATAGGATGTGTCCCCTAAACTCCCTCCTACCTACTCTTTGGTCCATGACTAAGCACCATTTGGGCTTCATATGGTTGAAATTAAGCAGCTGATGCACACATAACACCCGGCGAACAGTGACAGTACCTTAGCGAGGCAGGCTAACGACAAGCGCATTGTCGCTGGCTGCGATAACACTTTAATCTTTTGGATAAGGGCCACTGATCGCTTAAAGATCACACACTTTACAGCAAAGTCCCACTTTGTTCAAAACTGCGTGTGGATACAGTTCAGCTGAGACACACTTCCTGACAGGAGAACTGACTGGTTTAATTAGCCAATAGTTTGTGGCGTTCCATAGCTAGGGCGGGTTTAATCCAAAAGCTGGAGTCGTGATTGGACAGAAGGCAATCTCGAGAGCCCAATCACGCTGCGTTATTAGTGAGAGGGCGAATTTGGAGCCTTTAGGAAGCCTCAATTTCCCCAGAGCCCGCCCACAGGAGATTCACATCTGTGGGGTGGAAAGCTGAATGCTGTCTTCTGCTGGCCACCGCGCTACCTGCCTGCACAGTGGGTCAAATCAGTTCGGCGTAGCACATGATATCCCAGAATGGCGTCAACAGCTCTGAGATCAGCGTTCAGGACCAAGGTAAAGTGCAAGTGGCAGCGTGTGGTCAGCTCAGATTGTTGACACAGTGTCCTGCAGAAGTTATGTCCGTGCATTCCTTTACAGAGGAGGAATAACGTTTTTCCTCAGTTCAAAAATCTTAAGAGGATTAAAAGTAATAATTTTATGCCTTCAAGAGCTGATTTATAACATTTTTTCTACTCGTGTTCAGCTGCAGGTGCATTTAAGCGCAAAGAAGTCTACCCGTGCACCTGCAGCCTGGACCGCATTCCTTCACTCAGCTTGACTTTGTCCCCATTTTCACAACTCCACACTCAGTAGTTGCATATTAATCTAATCGGCCAACAGGCTGCAGCTGGTTGACAAAATGTGCAAATGAAACAGCACGTTGTACTTCTAGGATGGATAAATACTGCAGTTTTTGCTACTTTTAGCGATTTGACTCCTGCTGTGCCGCTTTCACAGGTTCCATTTAGAGTCGGCCGACTGTGCTGCTACTCCTCCTCCTCTGTGGTGAGTGCTTATGAGTAACTGTTAATCTGGTAATACATTTCAGAGATAATCAACCCTACGAGTAAATGCTGGTATCTTTCCTCACAGCCCACCACCAAACTGTTTATTGATGGGAAGTTTGTTGAATCAAAGTCCTCGGAATGGCTGGATATTCACAATCCTGTAAGTACTTCTAGTATTTCTTGGCAACATCCATTATTAGTTGAGGTGAATGTATACTGATGCCTCACCACACTGTGCTTGTACAGTATGGAGTTGCTTAACCTGGACATACTGGTCCAGACTGGTTTGTGTAGATGGGCGTCCCACGTCAACATTTAGGTTCAGATTTGGCATTATTGAATGAGCAGAGTCACAGTATAAAATATTTTTAGTGTTTAAAAAAAAATCCAGCTTAGAGATCATGACTTTTTTCCACTTTCACAGGCTACCAATGAGGTGATCACCTGCGTGCCCAAAGCCACCCAGGAGGAGATGCTGGCTGCTGTAGACTCATGCTCCAGAGCCTTTCGCTCCTGGTCTGAGACCTCCATCTTGGCTCGACAGCAGGTTTTTCTGCGCTATCAGCAGCTTATCAAGGACAATATTGTAAGTCACCGTAAGGTGCTCTGAAAGTAAAAACACATTCAGCCTTGTTTAATTAATGAATCAAACAAGAGCGTGGACTCACCGTTGCCTCACAGAGAGAGGTTCTTAGGTCTCCCTCTTCTCTCTGGGTACTCTGGCTTCCTCCCAAAGTTCAAAGACATGCGTGTTAGGTTAACTGGAGATTTTAGACTGGCAATGTCTCTGCGTTAGCCCTGCAATAGGCTAGTGACTTGTTCAGAGTGCACGCCACCTCTCACCATATGACAGCTCGTATCCAGCCCCACTCCAGCCGTGTGCTTGGATGGATGAATGAACAGATGGACAGACAGCATGTTAGTCCGTCCACAGTAGTTCAGAGCTCTTGTTTGAGTGAAACTTGACTTTAGGCTATATAGCTGATACAGAGAATTCATACAAGCGTCCTCATGCGTTTCAGAAAGAACTTGCCAAGGCCATCACAGTGGAGCAGGGGAAGACCCTTGCAGATGCAGAGGGAGATGTGTTCAGAGGATTGCGTAAGTGTGTCTGACACACACATGCACACAGATGTCCTTTTTGTCATTGAGCAACAAGTGGTTAAATATTTGCATTTTGTGTAGGCTCTTAACTCATTTACAGGAATCTGTTTCATCTTGTAAATGGGACAAGCGGGACAGAGGGTGGTTTATTTCATGACTGATTCTGTGGAAGATTAAATTTTGATATTTTTAGGCCTTTCTATGATAGTAAATAACA